GGTTAATCCTCAAAGTAACCTTCTTGCTTTTCAACACTTTAAAGAGGGCTTGTGCTACAGATTTACCCAATGCAATGTGTCTTTTGATCTCTTGACTGCTGCTTCCGTGAGCATTGATTGTGGATCCAAGCAAGAAAAACTCCTGGACAATTTCAATCTTTCTCCATTTATCATATTACTTATTTATCCAGTAGTTACCTACTGATGCAGTTGTGAGGATTTTGGTCTTCTTTACACGAAGTTGTAGTCCGCACTGAAGGCTGCACTCCTTGATCTTTATCAGCAAGTGCTTCACGTCCTCCTCATTTCAGCCAGCAGCGTTGTGTCACTGGCATCTCTCGGGCGGTTAATAAGCCTTCCTCCAATCCTGATGGAACCTTCTTCTTCACAGAGCCCATCTTGTCCGATTATTTCCCCAGCAGACAGATTGAGTAAGTACAGTGAAAGCATGCAACCCTGATACACATCTTTCCGAATTTTAAGCCATGCAGTATTCCCTTTTTCTGTTGGTACAACCACATTTTAATGGGTGTACAGGTTCTGCGTGAGCATTACTAGTATTCTGGAATCCCCATTCTTCTCATAGTTTGCTATGGTCCACACAGTCCAATGCCTTGACATAGTCAATAAAACACAGATAATCATCTTTCTGGTATTTTCTGCTTTCAGCCAAGATGCATCTGATGTCACCAATGATATCTCTGGTTCCATGTCTTCTTCTGGTTCCTGGCAGAACCCCTGGCAGCTTCCTGTCAGTGTACTGCTGCAAGCATTGTTGGATGGTCTTCAGAAAAGTTTTACTTGCATGTGACAGCAATGATAATGTTCTATAATTTGAGCATTCAGTTGGGTCACCTTTCTTTGGAATGAGTCTAAATATGGATCTTGTTCAATCAGTTAGCCAAGTAGCTATCTTCCAAATTTCTCAGGATAGGCAAGTAAGTGCTTCTAGTGCTTCATCAGGTTTGGGGAGCATTTCAATTAATTCCTGGAGCCTCATTTTTGACTAATACTTTCAGTGCAGCTTGAATTCTTCCATTAAGTACCATTGGTTCTTGCTCATATACTACCTCCTGAAATGTTGGAATGTTGATTAATTCCTTTTGGTAGAGTGACTCTGTGTATTCTCTCCAAATAATGTTATCCAAACTATGGATAACGTTAAAAAATGGAAACTCCAAAACACCTGTCACGTGAAACCTTTACATAGACCAAGAGGCAGTCGTTTGAATAGTACAAGGCAACACTGCATGGTTTAAAATCAGAAAAGGTGCAAGTCGGGTCGTATCCTCTTACTATACTTATTCAATCTTTATGCTGAGCAAATATCAAAGGGGCTGGGCTATATAAAGAACGTGGTGGTATCAGGGTTGGAAGAAGGCTTATTGGCAACCTGCAATATGCAAATGACACAATCTTCTTGTTTACATTGGGGGGGCGTGAAGCCCTTGCTGATGAAAATCAAAAATTGCAGCCTCCAGTATGGATTACAACTCAATGTAAAGAAAACAAAAGTCACAACTGGACCAATAGGTAACATTTATGATAAATGAAGAAAAGATAGAAGTTGTCAAGGATTTTGTCTTTCTTGGATCCAATATTACTAAATGCACTCTATAAATTCAGTCCAATTCTGATCTTAATCCAAGAACAATTCTTCAAATAAATGGAGAAACTAATCATCAACTTCATATGGAAAGGAAAGAACCCTAGGATAAGCAAAACACTACTAAAAAACAAAAACGAAGTAGGAGGCTCCCCATTCCCTGATTTCAAAACCTACAAAACACATAACAAGAAACCAAAGTAGACCATCATATATGGAAGAGTACACCATGCTCATGAATAGGAGGACTTAGGATTGTGAAAATGCCAATAGTATCTCTCGAGATCCATAGATAAGATGCAAACCTGATCCAGAATCAAACATTATTCTTTAAAGAGATGGAAAAACTAATCACCAATTTTATATGGAAAGGAAAGATATCCCAGATAAGCAAAGCACTGCTAAAGAAGAAGAACAAAGCAGGAGGTCTCTTATTTCCTGATCTTAGTACTGACCATACAGCCATGATAGTCAAAGCAGCCCAGTACTGGCACACCAATAGATACACACATCATGGAACATAATTGAGAACCCAGGTAAATCCATCTACTTTCAGACAGCTGATCTTTGACAAAGGCCAGAATACTTGAAATAGGGAAGAGGTGGTCTCTTTAACAAATGGTGCTGGCAAAATGGATATCCGTTGGCAGAAAAAGGAAGTGACTGGACCAATATCTCACACCATATACAAAAATAAACTCAAGATGGGTAAAAGATGTAAGTGTAAAACTTAGAAGTATAAAGATCATGAATTTTTAAAAAAGGTAAACTAAGGGGCCCTAAATATACTACCAAACATATGTGATAAATATACCACCAAACTCAACAAAAACTCACAAACAGTAGAAGACAAAATAGGTGACTCAAGACAAACAAACAAACACATTTAATGCCACCCAGCTGATTCCTACTCAAAGGACCCTACAGAGAGAACTGCCCTGTAAGTCTTTTCAGGAGTAGAAACTCCGTCTTTCTCCAGCTGAGTGACTGGCAGTTTCAAACTTCTGACCTTGAGGTTAGCAGCCCAACTCAGAAACACTAAACGTAGACACTTATGTGCACCAAAAGATTTCACCAAAAGAGTGAAAACAGAACTCACAATCTGGAAGAGAAATTTTTGGCAATCACTCATAGAACAGAGGACCAATCTCTGAAAACTTAGACACCTCCATGAGAAAAAGACAGTCGTCCATTCTACAAATGGGCACAGAACATCAACAGACACTTCATCAAAGAAGACTTTCATGCAGCCAACAAAAGTGAAGAGTTGCTTACAATCACTAGCCATTCAAGAGATGCATCTCAAAACAACGAGATAGCATCTCACCCCAGCATGAAAGCCAAGGTCAAAATCAGGAAACAACAAATTCTGGCAAAGATGTAGAGAGACCGGAACACTCACACACTGCGGGGGTGGGGGGGTGAGGGGGGGGGATGGGGGTAAAATGGTGTAGCAGGATGGGACCTCCTAAAAGAGCTGAGACAGGAAATGCCATCTGACTTAACAATCCATCTCCGTAGTACATGCCCTAGAAAAATAAGAGCCATGACACAAATAACATCTGCACACTGTGTTCCCTGCTCCACTGAAGCCTGGTCACTATAGGTGACCCTGCTGGTGTTTGAAATACGAGTGGCATTATTTCCAGCGTCACCACCACGTGCCAGCCATCACAGTATGACAAACTCACAGACCAGTGGCCCGCAAGACCTCTTTAAGGGTTCAAGAGCAAAGATGTCTCTTTGAGGAGGACAGTGTGACTGACCCAAGCCGTGCTATTTGTAGTTGCCCCATGAGCACGAGAGCGCTGGACAATGAGTACGAGAGACTGCAGGGGAACTGCTGCGTCTGAGTGATGGTGTTGGTCAGGGGTATTGAAAGAGAAGGGGTCTCCAGGCGAACAGGCAAAGCTGTCTTGGGAGACATACAGCCAGAATACTTCTTAGAAGTGTGAAAGAGGAGACTTTGTCTCACATGCTGGGGAGATGTTATCAGGAGAGGCTAGCCCCTGGAAAAGGACATCATGCTTGGTAAAGTGGAATCTAGTCAGGAGCAAAAATGAAGACCCTCAGTGAGACAGATGGACATCTTGGCCGTGACAGCGGGCTCAGGTGTAAGATTGATTGGGAGGATGGTGCCGGCCTGGGTAACACGTCCTGTGCTGGACACAGGGTCGCTGTGCATTGGAACTGACTCAATGGCGTGCAACAACCACAACCACAACCGTGTATACATCACAGCCAAAATGATGATTAAAAGATCGCTGAGGACAAAGGGGGTGCATTAGCAAAAGTGGTGAAGAAAGCAGATGGTGCCCGACTATCAAATGATACAGCATCTGGGGTCTTAAAGGCTTGAA